CGTACAGCGTTAAACAGTAGGGCAAGCCCCACCGACCACTGTCTATCTCACCATTTCGCACGATGAATTAGAAAGTACGAATATACAAGATGGAGAGGGAGTGGACCTACAGGGGTGGGAAAACAAAAGAGTGCTCGAACACCAACAGTCTTCGCCTATCTTCTACCCTCAATGGCCATGTTTCTGAGTTTCATAAAAGAACGGACCTAACCACCGCAGTGTACACTCTACCCTTAACAGACAATCGGATGTCACGCCGACGCCACAGATGACGGAGGCTGGCAAAAGACAAACGTGCCTTTTGTATATGCGATGACACTTCATCCGTTATCTGTTCACCTGGTGAGATGTAACTGCCCAGGTAACAAAATTTATCCACTTCAGCTAGAGCTTCCCTGTACGCAGAACCCATGTCTCGAAACTATACAAGAGAACTGAACGCATCACAGTACACACGACCTTTCAACTTCAGTGAAATATCAGGTCGTCACCACAAAGTGTTTCAGTCCAGCGTACGCCGCTCGAGCCTTGGATATCCGCGTGCTCACCTCTACTACCGTGCTTTCATCTGTCGTCAAGAGTCCCTGTTGGCAGAGGAACCTGCCAAACGTACGTGGGACAGGGCTGTGCAGATTGCCCGAACCAGAACATTTGCTACAGAGCAACTGAAAACATTCACAACCACTGCAATTTCATGTGACGTTTATCAGGTCCGGAAATCGTTCGAGAACACAGGAACCACGCGGAAATGTTTTCTTTACGGAAGTCTGCAACACAAAACCAACTGTGTGACATGTCCAGTCTGCAACGTGGATTGTAGATTCTGTGGGAAGCGAGGGTACCACTTCTTTTGTTGTCGTTCTCGTAGAGTTTCACACATGAACTCATCCGATTCGTGTCATCAACTGAGAATGTTTATTCAGTTGAGCGCATACACGGTAGTCCCTTCTGTCCAGTTTTTTCCAGAATCCAAAATCCCCTCATCTGACAATCGTTCGGTTACTTTTGTTGTAAATGACTGAAAGGTAGTTATTGATATGGAATTAGATTCAGCTTTTCCTATCACTAATTTTCATGATCATCGCCTGAATGAACTTTCTTTGCACCCACTTTCTTCTTCCAAGCTTGACAGTTATACTAGTCCCATGGTGGAAGTTCATTCTGTCATTGTTACTGTTCAGGGTGTACACAGTTCCTCTTCTATAGTGGTTTGTTTTTGCCGATGAACCGTCCCCTGTTGGGTCGGAATGCTATGGTTGCTTTGAGTATTTCACCTTCCATATCCCGTATGAGCATTTTGTCAATCAATACTCATACATTATGTTCACGATATCCCGCGCTGTCTGGTTGGCCCATTGGAAGAATTCTCTCCGTTTCCCACCAAATTCGACTGAAGCCGTATGCAGAACCGGTCATTATTAGACAACCCCGACCCACGCCGCTAGCGCAGACAGGTTGCATCTTCGCCTCGCAGCAAACGGTAGCAGATGACTCGGTCGAGCCCATCGATTAATGTGTCAGAACCGAGATCGGTTCGAAGTGCATCGAAAAGTCGAAGAGCCATGTGAAATGTTACGGTCAAATTCTATTGTTCAATAACACAGCGTAGTCGAAATTGTTGGTAGACTATCGACGTTTCGGTCACCACGGGTTACCTTTTTCAATACTGATTTCACCATCGGATTGCTCCGAATGGGTACAACATATGGTCACTGTCCTGAAGGACGATTCTGTCAGAATTTGTAACGATCTGTAAGCCCTCAACAGACGAATAATAGTGGACAAATTTGTTTTTCGATCCTCGAATGAATTATTCGTCCAGTTGAGGGGTGCTCGGGGCCCGATTTGCTAAAAGCACTTTTCCACATGCCTCTGGCTCCAGACTCTCGACTCTCGACTTACAGCTTTCCTCACAACAGATGGATTATTTCAATACAAACTACTACCAATGGGCTCAAGTTCGGCCTCGGCTGTGTTGCAGAAATGTATGGTACATTCTCACCTAATCTTCCAGGTCAAATAGCATACACGGATGACATATGCGTACTTGGTCATACAACAGATGGACATGATATACGGCTTCATGAGGTCCCAGAGCGCCTGAATCATCTGAGCCTGTGCTTGAATGTTGATGTCCATTCGGGATAGACTCCAACGAATTCTCGGGCCACATTATCACCCGCGACGGCATCAAACCGAGCGCTGAGAACACACGAGCGATTACTGACGCATCCCGTCCACAAAACGTCACCGAAATTAAGCATTTTCTCCGAATGTGTTCTTATTGCTTGAGGTATTTGCCACATTTTGCAACTCTTGCAGAGCCACTGAGGAAGTTACCAATCGAAAACTGCGGGTTCGCATGGGGTTCATCACAAGAAAATGTATTCGAGAAAATAAAACAACGGATAGTTTCTACGCCAGTGATGGCTATTTTTGACGAAGACTGTACCACTATCGTTATCACAGATGCCTCTAGTATTGGTTTTGGCGATACAGTATCTCAAGTGCAACAAGGAAAAGAGTCATTGCCCATGTTTCCAGGATACATATGAAAACTGAAGCTGGATATTCCGCCGGAGAGAAAGAAGCCTTAGCATGTATTTGCGCTTGTGAAAAATGGAACTTATTTCTGTTCGGTAGACCTTTCACTCTTCGAACGGATCATGCTGCCCCGAGAACTCTAGTGACCCGGAGGGATACCGGTCTTAGGCCATTACGCACTCACCGATGGTACGTCAGATTATTGAATTACGATTTTCAGATAGCCATTAGGCTCGGACGTGAAAACTAAGCCGCGGATGGGCTTTTCGTCTAACTCTCGGCGAAAAAGAGCGACATTAGGACGCTGAAGAACAGCTGTTAGTGTCTGCTATGGAATGTAAGGAACCTTCTGCTGTCAAAAGAGAAGACCTTCAAAAGGCTAGAGCAGAAGACGAAACAATCAAGAGCATTAGGGAGTTTATCTTAAATGGATGGTCTCATCAGAGTAAAACGACCTGTTCAATTCGTCTGTTTTGTCTTGCGCCACGAGCTGTCACTAGTGGGCGGATGCCTCATGCGTGGTACGAAATTCGTAGCTCTCCAAAGAATCGTTCCGAAAATTATGTCGTGCGCCCACAAGGATCATCCCGATATCGTCCGCACCAAACTGAAGGCCGAATCGTAGTTCTAGTGGCTTGGAATGTCAAAGCCCTTAAAAAATTTTGTTCGTGACTGTGAGCCACGCCAGCTATCGGATAAGAGTTCAAAATGGATTGATTCACCAATACAGTCTATAGTCTACCAGATAAGGCCGTGAACGAAAATTGCTATCGATACTATGGGTCCATTTAGCTTGGCCCACTCATCAAAAAAATTGTCTAGTTACTACTTGTTTCCAAAGTAAATGGCTCGAGGTACATTTGTGTGCGGAGGTAACGACGGTGAGTATCATTCGCTGGTTAAGGTCCGTGTTTTCTCGATTTGGACTGCCGGAGGAAATAGATAGCGACAACGGCCCTTAGTTCACAAGCCGAGAGTTCTAATCTTACCTGGAAATTAATGCAATACCAGTTCACGATCAATGTAGATCATTAATCGCTTCCGAATTCAAAGTCCTACGTTAGTTTACTCGTGGACAGTTTGTTGCATAGGTGCTACAATACGATCCTGTTCCATTGCTGATCGGTGTATCTCTGAATACAGCCGTAAATAATTCCACTGCAGTGTGCCCCATTTTTCAGATAAATTCTTGCACTGAGAAATTGTGTTCTTGCTGCGGACTGTTACATTATTAGTGGTTGTTCATCCTTACTTACAAGGTCAATAGAAATTGATTGGTTGATTTGTCCATATTGTTCGCGTAGTCTGTGTGTGGCATAGATTACCTACAAGCTTGTTTACGCATGCTCAAAGAGCCCCAGGCTCTGATTTACGATACAATACTAACCACCGTAATCTGTTAAGATAAAGGTAGTGGTTGCTCCAGTGACTGGCCTGTGGGTCCCAGAGGTATTTCTACCATGTTCGAGTAATATTGCGAGGACATCGATGCTCAAACACTGACAACCTGCAGGTGTCTCCCGCCCGTAGCGGCCAAGTTATTGAACGGTATAAAAGGATCGATCTATGCCACCGTACATCGGAACCTCGATAGACAAACTGATGTCACACTGATGCTATGGACAGTTCAAAATGACGAAAGCCGAACGCGCCTTGTGTATACGTGACGATACTTCATTCGATATCAGACCACTTGATGAGGTGTGACTGCCAAGTCAACAAAAATGACCAACTTCATTCAAGGCTTCCCTATCTTGGACAGGGGTTCGTCTAGGGTCAACCAAGTAAATAAGTAGCATTGTGTATTTTGAACGTACAAAATATACCCTTAACATGGCCACAACGTTATTCAGACTACCCAGGAAAACGTATAACTAACACAACTCCTCACCCGGAAGCACAACATCGTCCGCGTTTTTCAAGTCAGACAGTAAACTATCTCAGTAAAGATTGACGTTGCTTCTATCACACGAGGATAGGGCTATTTCCAGAATCGCCGCGATTACAAAGTTGAAAATGAAGGGTGATCCCAACGGAAACCACCTTCAGTGATGAGCTCAGACGGAAGGTCGCCCTAAGCACAAGCTGGTGCTGCGCTCTCCGCCAATTTCTGCGAGCCACAGCCCCTGTTTCCAGAATATTATTCGTATTTGGTGACACCGCGTGGGCAACGATCTTCTTCATTGTGTAACTGTCGTGTATAATCGCACATTAGGCGAATTAATCCACCGTCTAGGTTAAGTCCGACACATTCCGTGTAGGCCTGTTGGAGCACATAAAAACATCCTATATAACGGTGCGATTTTGCTGACCGGCTAGTATAAAGAAAAAACGGTGTGGGTGTAACACCGACGTCATAATAAAAATAGCATTATGAAAATCGTATGGCATTTAGCCTTAATTTTGTTAATGCACATGACAACACGACACTTTCTAACAGGACTTAATTATTTTACCTTGAGCTGATAACGATTGGATCATTTTCCGCTTCCACGGAACAAGCATATCGGAGGATGTGAACTCAGTCCCGGAGACGTGTAAGGGTAGGTGTACATTTTTAATGGGTTCCAAAACCACTTGTGTCATATCAGAGCCACCAGTTCGTAGTTTACTCTTACGTAAATACGGCGCGGGTTCCGAGCTGGTTGGATCTCGTTGCTCTTTAGCCCAAACCTGCAAGTCGAGTGCGGAGGTGAGGATAAAGAGGCGGGAGTAAAGAAGCATTGACGATAAATTCCGCTGAAAATAACATGAACGACAAGAAAACTCGAGATTAATGAGGAATGTGCACCAGTGTACGAGTCGCGGAATCCCGTCCAATATCAAGTTTAATTTAACTAATTTAGCTAGCAGCTTGGCCCAACAAGAAATTCCTCGCACGGCAACAAAACCATTCCGGTTGTAAATTCCCTGTTATTCGCCACATGCGATTCAAGATGGATTACTGCATCTTCAGTATAACCGTAAAATTTCCCTAGTGACAGCATTCGCCTCTAGTTCACGCAATAACCAAACTTTACTAAGGTGCGACGGAGTGACTCACTGTCGGTACTAGTTGGACTCTGCAAGCACAGCGTTCAAGATACACCTGCCGCATCCACGAGTTTTGTGTTTTTTTTCTATTTTGACTACTGATAATATTGGCCGTAATTAATTTTTTTTATTTTCCTGCATAAGCAGAAAAAAGCCCTCGGATTGCCCGCAAGAAATCAAGATTAACCAAGTCGGTATTTGTCAACCATTACCTCAAAAAAAGCTAATATTAACCCTAACGGGACTGAATTAACATTTTGATTCATTTCGATGTGTCTCTACGAATGTGATCGCTTATCGCGGTTATGTTGGATCACCCGAGGCAATCTGTGCACTCCATTGAAAACCCGCTCTATTGGCCGTAAACTAAACCTAGCCTGATTGAAGGCAGATGCAAAATGTTCTGTTCTTGAATATCAAACATTTGAATATAACTGATGATTTTCTCCGGTTTTCTAATTGTCAGAGATGTATGTGGATTTTATCAGTTGAAACCAATAAACTAAGAATTAGATAAAGTGAAGTACACCCTTATTGCGATCACTGATGGCTTTTATTCACTTCTTTTTATGTTCTATTGACAAATCGTTCTCGTCAACAGATACTGATATTTACAGATGTTATCGGACCGTTCAGTGATGGTTTTGCCTACTACTTCATTACATATTGATCAGTCATTGGTCTCTTATGAACCCAGTATTATATAACTGCCTATGTATTTGCACTGTATACCAACATGCTCCCAAATAGCATTTCTGATCCCAGGGTTGTACCCATTGGTCCCAAAGTTCATTGTAAGAGCAATTCTTCGGTTAACTCCCTGTACCCCTTGCGCGCTGTCTGTAAACCTCCTTGTACCCTCAAGAATCACAATGAGGCTAGACCACTTGTTGGGTCATCCGTATAATCGATTGTAAATCTCCCGCAAGAAAGGCTATCCGCGGTAACGGAAATTTCGCATGAACACATACATTTCAGACAATGTTGTGCTAGTTAATATCTAGATTTTACATATAACTGCACAGCTTCCTTTTTCTGACTGTTACGGTTGTAAAACGAATAAATACAAACTTTTATCAACTTTTTAAAACAGTTGTAGACAAACGTTTCCTACCAGGCCACATCAAAAGTGGTTTAACCAGAGAATGTGACAGGCAGATAATTATTATACTGTTGTTATCAGTTATTAAGGTCGACTGTATCTGGATCCGGACTGAAAACACCTAAGGTTGTCTAGGCCCTTAAAAAGATCGGTTAATCTTTATCTGATCATCCCCGACCTGATGTATGCTTGCGCTCGCCGGACAAGATGCAGCTAACTCACTGGCGGACAAGGCCATCCCAACAGATAACTGAGCGGAAAATGGTTTTTCAGTCATCCATGCCAGCGGCAGTTTATTAACTCATACAGTCTATCGATGGCGGAAAAATCACCTGACAGCTCGTAAATGCGCCCATGTGCGCCGACTGTATGAACGGACCACCACCACAAAAACGAAAAAAAGGAATTCGTGCATTCGGGTGAACCATGCACGCAGTCTGGGCTATCATGCACAAATGTGTCTGAGGCACGTTAACTACGCTGAGCTACAATGACTGCATGAACCAGTCAGACCGACAATATATATATATATATATATATATATATATATATATATATATATATATATATATATATATATATATATATATATATATATATATATATATATATATAACTCGAAGGAGCGATCACGCTTTCATCATCATCAGACCCTAATCCATTCGCGTTCAGCATATACTTCATTTGTCAGAACAAGGCAAATAAAGGTCACCTCTAGGAACCTGTCACCTATCAAAATTACCCATCCTTAAAGATCTCTTGTCATTTTTTCCTCATCCTTTCATTTCGATTTTTCTCTTTGCCCGCTAAACTTATTATCGAAGATATTAGGTATGATATTCGACTTCTGTTTTTCTATGGAGAGCATTTTTTAACAACGGCAGAATAGCTTCTCTACTGCTTAGATTTCTCAGAAAACATGAATAACACGTCTCCAATCTACACGACCAGGATTCAGTGAAATGACACTCCATTCTGAACAAAAAAACAGATACAACGGCTGAATACGACGCCTGTCCACCTGTTCTTCTGCACCATAAATAGCAAACTTCTCTGACAGAATCCCACCACTGCAGAAAACCGGTCCGGTAAAAACGACAACATAGATGCCGATAACCTGAACGCCGCGTCTGTTCATCTTCCATTGGATACCGTTTAATCCTATATTCCTTCTGTTCCTTCAAGTATAAGGCGACTTTCTTCAAGAGTCTCCAATTATCTTGAACCTCGAAATCAACCTCTGCTGTGGGTTTACAGGCCTACCTTCCACCGTCCTCAAATTTGGAGCAAGTCCACTATCCGGAATTTACTTCCCCTATCAATTCATCTGTTGATGCTCTTGTCACTCTTGTCTCCTAAAAACCAGTGACAGTGGTATCTAGTCCCAAATACTCCACTTCCAACATTTTATCAAAACGCTTTCGTCCCACCACTATTACTTCTACGCTCAAGTTAACCGAGCACGCTATCCTTAGCCGATTACGCGGCTTTTTTGCTGTACCAAATGAACCCCTTCAGTTTCCGTACAAACCCAACAGACGTACTCCGGATGCAGCTGTTTCAGTTTGCTATTTCATTTCAAACAACTTAAATAGTTTCATGAAATCCGTTCGTTATACTTTCCTTGACAATTCTTCCGCTTTGATTCGGTTTCCAGTTTTCTACTCCTTCAAAAGCTGGTGTCTTTTGGTATTCCCAATTCTTTACTGTCGCGGTTGAAAGACCACTTTCCCAAAAGAATTCAAAGAATAAACATTGGTACAAGTTTATCGAGTCCTTTAACTAATCATTCTGGTGTTCTACGGGTGCCGTTCTTGCCCCTATCTCTCCACGAAATATATCAGCGACTTGACCGTTGTACTATGTGCACAACTTTTGAAGTACGCTGATGACACGGTGCCCCCTGAATCTATCTCCAACCTACCACACTTTGGCTCTTTGTCGAAGAACTTATATGGTATTCAGGAATTTTCGTCCAATTCTGGTCTACACCTCAATGCTTTCAAAAGTTTTGAGTGTACTTTTTTTCTTGTTCCTCTTACCCCAATGAGCAATCGGTCATCAAGAACGATCTCGTTTCCAGAGCTGCTTCGGTCAAATGCTTAGACTCTACAATCCCCACCATTTTACTAGTAGTCTTGTCATTTTCTTGATTGTATTAAAAACGACGTAGACCGCCTTTTTAAGTTTGTAGGCTAGAGCAGTCTGGTGCTACACAAGCCGTTATTTTTTCTTTTGTTCATCGATGCATTCTCAATCTTATTTTACTACTCTTCCGTAATCTTTCCTGGCCTAGTTAAAAAAGATCATATCACATTACACTTCGGCCTAGCCATTATTAGTCATGTTCGTTGAATCCCGTAGGCTCTCTTGTCTCCGGAGTTTGCGATTTGCGCATTACAGCCTGTGAAAAATTCGCCATGAAGATTCTTACAAAGCCCATCCATCCCCTGTGCCATGACTTATCTGCATGCCGTTCACATCTTTCCTCACGTTTCGTATTTAGACCCATCCCATCTCGCATAAATATCTTTCGCAACTTCACGTTGCTTAAATTAGCACAAGTTTTGACTAAGAAGTTGGAATTCACAGAGAAAATTCGCATGAACCTCGGTGGCTGAACTACGTTTGTTTCAAAGTCATAATGATCAGCTTTTGCCTGAAATAGGCTTTCTTCGTTAGGCTGACAGTCCTTTCGACTCCACCTTTCACGCACAAACCTCAGGTCATCCGACCAACCTGCACTCGGAAGCACTAGACTCGAGGTTGGTCGGATGACCTGAGGTTTGTGCATGAAAGGTGGAGCCCAAAGGACTGTCAGCCAAACCAAGATGCACCAGTCCCACACACTATTCGCAAATAATTGTATGATATATGTGAAATAAGTTTGTCAACTTGCTGAACTCCCTAATGAAATACCGTACAAGAAAATTCTGTTCGCCTCGGGTATGGCCGTATACAGATTAGAACGCAAAAAAGATTATCAAGAAGGAATTACAGGAACGACAAAATCATGAAACATTAGGAGTAAACTAACTTGAATAAGACCCATGCCCCCAGGGCGGAGTAGCCGAGATAATTCATGAATCGCTGCTAGCCGACGCTCAGCGGTCGACAAATGATGGATGACCGCGATACAAAGGAAGAAATCTAACCGACCGGCTTGGTAAGGAAGTCGCATAATATCACCAACTACCACATCGAATCCTATGTCGTAAAGCGACAAAAAGGGAAGGGATAAATTTCTTAACTTAATCCAAAGTGTATCAGAGCGCGTATCACAGCTCGAAACGAAACGGAAACATACTGACTTTGCAATCGTCATGGAGTGATGAATACGATCCATTTAATGTTTTCGTGCCAACTATAGCAACGCAGAAGAATGCTGGCACAGCTACAACATTCGTAGTCTGCAACATCCCATTTCTCGTACTCCACAGTTGGAGATGAGCAGGGTTGGAACCTTGAGGCGCAAGCGAAAAGCATGAGGCTAATACAAATAGACCACCAACGATCGTACCTAACACTACCGCGAACGACAGAAACCGAGTGCCGCATCCAACAACTTATGGTGCATAACTGTAAGATGCTGATGGAAAGATCCATGACGCCTGAATAGTTGAAAAAGGTATGGAAAGTGGGTTACGTCCGTTTGTCGTTGTGTCACACCGAAGTGGAAAAGCTTTGTCAACTGTACCGCTTCACTCGAATCTTATTTGACGAAATTGAGCTTTACCATGGGCTTTTGGTTTTCGAAATCAAAAGGCAAATCAAGCAGTCGCCTGAGACCGGTGTTGTTTGGGTGAGCGCAAACCTAACAGAGGTTCGTTGCGGTAAATGATTTTGTGTCGGATTGCACTGAACCGACAGATATTTCAAAAATGTCTGGCTTTGGTATGGTTTACACTCATATTCGCTCTTATTGTACAGCCTACTGCAGCATGCACCTATCAACGGCCTGAGTGGTAGATCAGATCTGTCCGATTACTTGGATTCTCAACGTTAAAAAGTGAACCGATAAGTATTTAGATGACTGTGAAATTTCCATTGCTCGTCCAAATTTTCAACAATGATGACAATAATGATAAAATCCGAAGCACACATCCTCCCATACTAGACAGTAGCGTGAAACCTAGCCGACATCATTTTTTGCACCTTTGCAGTCCACAAAATTATTCACACATCAAAATTTGTCACGGAAGAAAAAAGTGAATAGATTTTCGTTACCTACAACGCTGCATCCAAAACAAATAATTCGGATTGTGGCAGACTCTTGGGAAGTCAAAAAAGGAAAACAAAATTGTTTTTCAAGCAAGCCATTATTAACTCGAGCATGCCAGGCTGGCCTGAATAATCAATAATCAATAACTTATCGGATCACATTAGAAGTAACCCCTTTTGCTAATCGAGCAGTCATCTATGGTCCGACGCGAAATCGGGTCAACGGATCAATAATCAATTCGGTGGACGTTTTCGTCAACCTAATCGGCCCAACAGGGCTTGAACCCAACTGGACGCCCAAGTTCGGGAATGTTCGATTTTCGCTTCAAACATCACGCTGTAATTCCTGTAAATACACAGTCGCTTTGGCGTGCTGAGTCCTCGCCTTCTGACTTGTCATTGCAGGCTGGTGCGACTGGAGTTGCCAGCTGAGATCGAATCCGCAGGTTTCCCATTCAGATCGCAGAAGAGAATTTGTGGGTCATAACACAGTCTTAAATAAAGTGCTATATACTCCGTGAAAGACCTGACCGGTGGTGGCTGGGTGGTTTAGAGAGTTTACTTATCACCTCGGAAGTGAGTTTCAAACAGCCAACACCACTGTGGTATACATCTGTTTTCTCCCGGATCGTCACCACGTCTAAGGTACCCGTATCTCATGGGATTCTCCACTCCAAGTCACAAGCTCAAGTTATAGGTTGTCCCTTGTAGTTCAGTGGACCTTCAGGACTATGGAGTGTAACCCATACTCTGCATTCATAAGCAGACATACTACAAAAGAAAGCGAAACCGCGGTGGCTGGTAGTATGAGAGTAAAATTACTCTGATCGTTTAAGTGGCACAGTAACACGCACTTCCAGTTGTAGTTCTATTTGGAGTTCAGTGGACATGCACCACTGGTATACTCCAACAAGGATGAAACATACTCATTGCATCATATAGAAGTCTAAATAGACGAAACAACTGTTTTTCAGTCATTCATTCTCAAGCCGTTTACAGATTCCATAGTAGACATTAAACAAAAGATCATGAACACAGACATGGAATCTACCGTCCAGTGCCAGCTAGATAAACCAGTCACATGATAAGGATAATCTGACTGACAAACCCCTGCCCATCATTGGTGTCTATTCTATGTCTATGTTCACGGCCTTTTGTCTAATGCCTACTATGTTATCTGTAAATGGCTTGAGAATGAATTACTGGGAAACAATTGTTTCGCTGATTTAGACTTCTAAAGGATGAAACAGCTGTAAACTGTTTCTGTAGTTTTCAATAGTGAGTTGAACGTTAGTATTGCAAGGTGAGTAATTTCCTCTAAAAAATTATGAATAATAAATCGATCAAGACCAAAGATGAGCTGAGAAGGCCGCCCGAAATACTTCCAATCTCACCGAATGAGTCAAAATCATTCAGATACAGGACATTAGCGACGGCCGAGGCAATCAGTATCCGGCTGCTGCGGCCCAAGCTTTGTTCACAAAAGAAGCTGGTCCAAGCACTTGAACTTCCGTGGCCGAAGGTCTATGACGTCATGCTCTAATGTGATGCCGATCCAGGCCTCTGACGACCACACGTGATTTTACCATGTCCCCTGTTCATCTATCGATTAGTCGGCTAACCAATCGATTGACTGACTGACTGACTGATTGATTAACTGATCAAATATGTCCTTTTTCCTCCTCTTATTTTGTTTCATATAAATGTGTTCGTAATTGGCTTGAGAATGACATCACCGAAAACATATGTTCGCCTACGCCTTGCTTTCTGATGTTAACCAAGGACTTTTTCCGTATACTCAAGAATCTTACCTCTATTGTAAACAATCTGGGAAAGTCGAACACTCCGATCGAGCGCCAAAATTGGAGCCAGACGTAGAGTTTTTGTTTGACCATCAAGCGATGCGGAAAGGCGTTCTACTGCTGCAAGCAGATATTTACCGTTCCCACAACCTATATCTGCTCCCAATGCACCCATCGGTAGTCCTTGCAGAAAGCGGACAACCCCGGGCCAGGGGGAGTGTCTCGTGGAGCTGAACTCCTCGGCAATGGAGTCGTACACCTATAAAAAATAGTGGACAGTAGAATAACTCTAGGAAAAAAACCAAGAGGAACAACCGCGTGTAGACGGCTAATCCATTTATCCGTAATCTACGTTGGCTTGACACCTGAATAAACGTACCCGAAGTTAATGATGCCAAAAGACAGTCGATTTCTCGGTAAAACAATGGGTATTCAAGGTGAATTACCAGCGGTCTCAAGCATAAAACACCCTCTCTCGCTGATTCAAGCGTAAAATGATAATTCAAGATGGTCGACCAGTCAGAACACAGATCAGGAGAATTGACCAGTGAGATCGAAGGGAACGGGTGCTCCGGCTGACATCTGCCTACTGAATTAGTAGTCAGCAGTAAAACTCGGAAAACGGAATAACACGAAGAGTTGTATTGCGACAGTAACTTACCCTCAGGAAAATCCGATTATTTTACTTCGTCCCATGAGAACGGTAACATTTTGTAGGTATATGGTGCACACTAACAGATACGTCGCCGATACAGTGGGTAAACATACCTGTGAACGCCTGCACAAGTTTATCAGAAGGACGCTGAAAGGAATAATTCTCTTTAATTACCCATTTCTGGGCCTTCACCCCATATGGGTCAAACAAGTGATTAAGACAGTAACTTTTCACGCAGAGGAAGTGTCTATCAGTTGGATAAACATCCGATTACTAGTCAACTCTGTTGGCGATAACGCTGATCACCAGAGCTATGGCCAGACCCGGAAAACAAAATCAAACAGCAACTCCAAAGACACCTAGAAATTTAATTTATCCAAGAGACTGCACCTTGACGTGGTGTGATGGCTTGCGCGCCTCTATGGCCCAAAGAGCTATACAGGATGGCTTCTTTAAGCCGGAGATGCAATCATACCTGACAGGTCAATGGGTAGAGGTCAGACAAAGTCCAGTCTCCTGGTCCTCCAGGTTGGGGGTTGATTTGAGCTGGCAACTCAATCGAAAAAACCAGTGGAAGAATAATTGATCCAAGCAAATGGGCTTCCAATGAGCTATCCCGCTGCCTTGCGGATGGGTTCTTGTCAGAACTAAAGGCTTTGGATGAGGACCCTAATCGTTCTCCTGCTTTGTGGCTGGACACCCTAGCAGTACCCGTCCAACATCTCCCATGAACTGCACGAATACAAAGAATTCCATACTGCATCGGTCGTCGCGCAGGATAATCTGGACCGCGCTGCCCATTGCATCGAGCGGGGTGGGTAGTGATAAATGGGCTACTGCTCAGAGTTCTCTCTTATTTAACCTTTGTCTTCTGTCCCTAACCACCTCTCTTTGCCCCATCTATCCACCCAAAATGCTCCCACTGATGACACGGTTGATACTCGCAACGATTCACTGTCAAATAGTATCGGGAATAATCCTCTGTCTGGTAACTCACATTTACTCAAGCCTCGTCAGCCTCTGAATCTAGGCTCCTTCAACGTGCGTACACTCATGCAGGCCGGTCAGCAGGCGTGCCTAGCCCTCACATTAGATTCTCTGAAGATTGATTTCTGCTGCTTAAGTGAAACGCGTATCCAGGATTCGAGCAATGTAATTCAACTAACTGCTCCTGGTATTTCATCGAGGTATTTTCTGCGCACCTCAGGAGACGAAGCAGCTCGAGCTGCGGGTCAACGTGATGTAGGAATAGTCTTGACTGACAAGTATGAGGCTGTCCTTTTAGACTGGATTACGGTTAACAGTCGTTTATGTGCTGTAAGACTCCAAGGGTCAGTCGGCGTTCGAAAGGATAGTTGTGTTAAACGCAATTTGTTTGTGATCTCGGCGTACGTCCCAACGGACTGCAGCTCAGACTTGCAGAAAGATGAGTTCTATGATGAACTCGGCATCCTCGTTCGCAGCAGTAAAGGTTCTGACATTGTAGTGCTAGCTGGTGATTTCAATGCACAAGTTGGCAAACTTAATGTGTCAGAAGCCTGTATAGGTGGGCGTTGTGCTTTACCCGCTGAGCGCACTGATGACGGGGATAGGCTCCTCCGGTTTTGTGCAGACAATAGATTGTTCTTGTCTAGCATTAATTTCCGTCACAGCTCGCGTCGCACAGCGACATGGCGCTCTAACTCTACAGGTACTTTGAGTCAAACTAATCATATCGCCGTAAGCTACCCATGGCGCAGTTCTGTTCAGAACTGTAGATCATACTGGTCCACGTACGTAGAGTCGGACCATGCCTTAGTTTTAATGCGATTATCTCTCCAGCTCCATGGCCATCGTCGCAAACCGCAAACCGGATTAGCCGTGCAACGTTTGTGTGATCCAGACGTTTGCACCCGGTATGAGCAGAAGTTAGCACATGAGCTAGGATCCACGGAGAACAGTAATGTAGATGAGCATTGGGCTCATATCAAACAGACGATGCACTTTGCAGCAGGTTTTGCCTGTGGTCCTCGATCCGTTGTCCATCAAAGACACTGGATCTCGCAAGAGTCGCTGAGTATAATGGAGCAAAAGCGTCAGCTTTCGAACCGTAAGGAGATGATTAAGATGCGGAGAAAGCTGCAAAGACAAGTTACGCGAAGCCTCAAGAAGGATCGCGAAAATTGGTGGGTCAATGTAGCCGAAGAAATGGAAGTGGCAGCTGCTTCAGGTAACAGTCAAAGACTGTTCAAACTTATTCGTGACACCGGTGGACAGCGCATCCAGGTCAGTGAAACGATTTGCAATAGGAATGGAGAACCCATCCATAACAAACAGCAAAGGCTTGACCGATGGGCCGAGTACTTCAAGGAACAGTTTAGCTGGCCGCACGCTAATGCAGTTACTCCCCTGTCAACAACTGTGACTTCTTGGGTGGTATCACTTGAGCCCCCATCAGAAGTAGAAGTAGAGTCATGTATTCGATTACTAAGGCGGGGGAAAGCGGCAGGTCCCGACGAACTTCCTCCAGTTCTTTCCAAACTGGGTGGTGAGGCGTTGATAAAATCACTTACCGTCTTGCTCCGTGACACTTGGAACGCGGAGCGTATTCCGTTAATATGGAGTGAGTCGTTGATTGTTCCCATCTTCAAGAAGGGAATACTCAATGACTGTAGTAATCATCGTGGGATTAGCTTAATTCCGATAGTTACCAAAGTATTAATCTCAATTCTACTGCACCGTCTTACACCAGCTCGCGAGAGGAATGCCCGCGATTAGCAGGCTGGATTCCGCCCAGGTCGAGGATGCATCGACCAGATTTTTACTCTTCGCCGACTACTTGAAATGCGTCACACACACCGCCGACCGACAATAATGATTTTCTTAGACTTGAAAGGCGCTTTCGTTTCAGTTGATCGAGCAGCGCTTTTCAGTACTCTTCATCGACAAGGTATGCCCCAGAAGTTCGTGAACCTACTGAGATCATTGTATTCTCATACTTCTGGCCGCGTTAGAGTTTACGGTGAACTATCCGGTCGGTTCGAAACGACCAGTGGTGTTCGGCAGGGGATGCACTTTGTCTCCATTGCTGCTCAACTTCGTCATGGACGAAATAATGGAGAGTGCGCTGCAAAATCTTCAGAATGTTGGAGTCGAACTAAGAGATAGTGAAAAGCTATGTGACCTCGATTACGCAGACGACGTCTGCTTGTTCGAATCCACGGAACATGCTCAGCGTGCACTAGATAATCTCGCAAGAGCTGTAGCTCCATTCGGCATGCGTTTTGCACCTTCAAAGTGTAAGGTGATGTTACAAGACTGGACGTCAAGGATTCCGAGCCTGATGCTCGATGGGGAGGTGCTGTCAGTTGTCGACCACTTCACCTACCTCGGTAGCTGCGTGACGACGGATGGGAGCACAGTAGTAGAGGTGAGTACGCGTATATCCAAAGCTCGAGCGGCGTACGCTGGACTGAAGCACTTGTGGCGTCGATCTGATATTTTACTGAAGTTGAAAGGTCGTGTATACTGTGCCGCAGTGCGTTCAGTTTTGTTGTATGGTTGCGAAACTTGGAGTCTGCGTGCTGAAGATATTCGTTGTCTTGAGGTTTTCGACCATCGATGTTTACGTAGTATCGCTAGGATTGGGTGGAATAGCCGAGTAAGCAACGATGAGGTAAGAAAGCGAGTATTGGGTACTAATTCAGAGAACGTTTTGTCACAGCGTATCCAACTTAGTAGACTTCGTTGGTTGGGACACGTGTTACGTGTGGCAAACACACGTCTACCGTACCGTGTCCTATTCTCCGCCCCTCCCAGGGAGTGGAAGAGACCACGTGGAGGTCGACAGATGACGTGGCAACGAGGAATGAGAAAATGTACAGCAGACTTAGGAAAAGTAGGTGCTTCACGTCTTCGTGGTTGGGGTCCAAAAGATCCGTCTGCCAGTTGGCTGGAGACACTGAAGGATATGACTGCGAACCGTGAACAGTGGAGATCGTGTTGTCACTTTCTATCGAATCAGAATGTTTGATCGGTGTACGTTTGTACAGTTAGACTGTGTATTCCGTGTGTTGGCTACTAGGGCATTCTTTTCTTTTCCCACCCATATAGGTCCACTCCCTGTCCATCTTGTATATTCATACTTTTTAATTCAACGTGCAACATGATGAGAAAGGCAGTGGTCAGTGGGGCTTGCCCTACTGTTTAACGCTGTACGATGATGATGATGAGGAGGTACGTCGCAAAGTCAAAGTTCAATATCCAAAAACTTGCAGTGTTTATATAACGAAAACCAAGAACGGTTGAAATCAGCGGTTCAAATGCGGGCACCACCGGTTACTTTGGTGGTACACAGCAATCTTCATATGGTTCTCCGTCAGCCCAAAAGTCTCAGGCTAGGGTCGCCGGTTATCCCTAATAGTGCAAAGGCCGTCGAGGTTATGGGGTACGCGCCTCTTTTCCTGCATTCATGCACAATCACGCAATAAAAAAGCTAACTGGCCAAAAAAAACTTAACATTCATTTCCCTGCGACACGCAATCGTTACTTGCCAGCAACCATCGGTCTTTGCATTGGTTTTTAACATTTACTTGCTCAGGATTGTGGAGCCGTACAGTCACCAAAGGCCTATTTCATGTCTTCTCTGTTCCGAGTAATTGTATTGGCGTTGCCGAAATTCACTAAATAAATTATTTTGAACGCAATGAATTTCTTTTTCGGAAATGTGAAGTACCATGGAATCTGATACTTGTGACGTAAGTTCTGCAGCAAACCACAGCCAGCTGGCATTGTGTCAGATTGACCATCAAGATAAGAAGTTTAATGTCGAATATGGCTCGTTTTTAAAATTATGAGAAAGTGAATGGTTCTGAAAACTCAATGGTCAGTAAGTTATCCAAGTTGCTACAGATCGACAAAACACGAACGATTACGTACTATCCTGAGAGCAACGAGTAGGTCGAACAGACTAATAGAATGTTCAAATAATTTGAAAACACTCGTAGAAGAGGTAAAGCGTTAGGATCAAGCACTCGAACAGTTACGGCGTACCGCTGCACCGTACTGGTGTTATTCGTGACATTATTGAAGCCGGCTCATCCTCTTGCAGGAGCAAGCCGCATGAAGTTAAGAGTACCTGGTCGATGTTGCTACCTCACTGTGGTGACTGGGTTTGCGTGGTAGGGTGATCCCGAGGGCTATGCCGGTCGGAACGCAAAGCGCTCCTTCAGGGTCAACCATATCGGACAGGCGGAGGACGAGTAGCCAAACAAAAGTAACGCAGCGTCGTTAGTGGGTCTAATGGGCATTTTAACTGGCGGCGAACTCTACATAAAAGCCACAGAAGCTCACAGACAGCAACATGACGTGCACGAATAAGGCCCGCCACCAAATAAGGACATTGCCTATCGTCTCTCACTCGGCCATGCTGAGTGCGGTAAGATTCACTGAGACGCGATGGGAATCCTCCAGTAGCACACTGCCACCCAAAAGACGTATGAACCGCTAGTTCAGTCACCGGTTCCCAAAACAAACTTCCCGTTGACCGACAGGCAGTGCTTGGTTGTGCATGAGCTAGAGTATCTACCTCGAATAAAAGCTGGGTGACGTTGGGGACGCTGCTTCGTACCTAATTCCCAAAACTTTATGAAAAGTTCCTCTTCACACACCGCTTATGAGCAGGTACCACTCGGGACATCCATGAAGACGGCCCATTGTCTCGTAGGAGCGGACAGGTAAAAAATAAGGACAGACGCCACATTCTCTGTGAACCAAGAGATTCGGATACCCTGTGACTTACAATCACCGTATAACTGCATCCTCCACAAGCTTGAAGCCAAATTTTCAGTTAATCAGACTTATGCATTTCGTAATTCTGTCTTCCCATATCCCGCTCGTCTGCTTGTTGACCGACGAAAGTCAGCACGGACTTGTGAAGCTATTTTCTTGGGTGAAAATTACCACAATTTGGAATCACCCCCAAAAAGGATCGAACTGTCAGCCTGACTATGGCCGTGGTTGAACGGTCATCACGGTGCACCTTAAACCTTTCTGTCCCGGGCTCTAATCCTGCTTCTGCCGACGGTCACTTTCCCCAGTAGGCATCCCCTAATTGGTTACAGCCGTCTTCCTGAAATATGTTACAAGTAACTGAACCGCTGCTGGGCGACTGAGTGAGTCGTAGAACACAAACCCGAAATCCAGTCATATAAGGCGAGTCGGTAATCTAAGTGTACCTCAAGAGACGGTCATTATATACGTAAATGACACGCGATTTGGGGGGGAATCCAATTACAAGAGACTGTGAATGGATATCAAGTAGTTCGATTGGGCACAAGTGAACGTACGCCGAGCCATATGGAACCGAGTCATCGGTATAAGGTGAAAATAAGTTTTTGTAGCACGGAGAATAACCAATCAGAGGACCATCAGACACCCATAAGACAGATGGACGGGCAGCGAGCTTAGATAATGACAGAGGAGATCGCAAGCGCACTCGATCTAGACGTGGTATGATCTTAGCATGAGATGGAAGGACAAAGGTCACTCTCATGATACGGATGAGAAATTCGACACGTGATTTCGTGTGAAAACAAAGTGCATTTAAGTAAAGGTGTGGACAGAAAAGTGCATACATAGACAAACAGTAAATGACGGAAGGCTAAGCAACTCTAGGATAAACGTAGAAAGAGAACCGGACGAGATCGAGATCGAAATGTGATCGGAAAAATGAAGAATAAATTATGGGAAGTAAGACACGAAGGTCCCGCGTGGGAATTTCGTAAACAGTTTATTTCAACTTTACAGTACCAATATTATATAAAAGGGAATAAAAATTACCACTCAGTATGTAGATTAGCACCAAAATTATACAGGAGTAGGTGGGAGTTGCGTTGTGTTCGTGCCACCCATCTTGACAAGTGGTAAACGGTACATTCACGAATGCATAGAGGGACGAACGCTTATTACTTTGTTTTTGATTCTCGTTTTATGCTTCGATTCGCTCTGTCCTGAACTGGACGATGCTGCGAAGTGGGAACCAAAACTAGCGCACAGGAGAGCGAGGTTGATGTTCAGATGAACTGAATAAACCGACTGGTGGGAGCAGAACATCAACAACATGGAAAACCGAATGCATAAATGAATGTTACGTGACCAGCTAGCTGGCACATAATTTCTCACCTTATGTACGCATGTGTCCTCCAGTGCAATGGGATCAAAACTTAGATTCTCGAATTCAGTTTCGTCACTGGGTAAATATGGTGAACTTCCCGAATCCGGTTTTGCCATCGAGCCTTTGAAAATGGGAAAACTATGGCACATTATTCAGGCGATTTTTCGGAACTATGGTGAAACAATACTTTTGAGCCACCAAGTGCTTCACAAACCAAATAACGAGTGAGGAAATACTAGAACTGTTGTACGAATGCAGAAGTTCGCACTTTACTTAAGCCCAATTATGCTATACTTATGCCAAACAATGCAGAATACGTAACCTACTTGCTTTACAAGGCCAAGTTGTTTGTGTATCATGACCCTCGTTACTGATCTTCGGGAAATACATCAAAAGCTCACCATTTTACGATTATTCTTAAAAATGGATTGTCATATACCAAACAGTAATTGTCTTAGTGCTGATCATACACACTGGCGGTGGCGATATTTTAATCGGCGCGCTTATATTACACAAATATGAAGCCTGGATAGCTAGGCATTTTCAGCATAAAATTCTCGTCTACGGACTACTATTCAAGTTTGAAAGATCGAAGCATGACTACACATGAAGCAGAAAATACTTCAGGCGAGTGTTCTGGGAAAAATGAAATAGACTGGTACATGCATTAACATTTCACGAATGTGCATCGAGCTTCGATGTATCAGTTGCCGCAAATGATGGTGCTCAAGGCTGATTCAAAACCAGCGTAACACCTGACGATGGATCGCTTGAAATATTCTGACATACTTATCAAGCACTCCCTATCTAAGGAAAAAGTCACAAACGGTTGTCTTTTCAACGGAGTATAATTCAGCTGGTTAGTCCAATGTGGATTTTGTTGGTCTATGATGTGTGGCGTATCTCAAGTATTTGGATACTGAAAAACTGGTTGGTTCGGACGAAAACCTGAATGCTCCTCGTGGATCCTTTGCTCAGCCCGTAGCAGGCGGACCGGCTACAATGAGCATAACCGAGTGATACCGGGCACACCTCCAGTTTGCGAACAGGAGTAACCCCACCAATAACCAGCTGCAAATAAAAAGCATCAGCGCTCCATACAAACGGAAGCGGACGATTAGTAGCCATTGCCCGAGAGATCGGTGGGTCTTCGTTTGCCAACGAACGCCCTCGCAAGCAAACACCCCAAAAGGTCTGTAGGTTACATCATGACGTGTGCAAATGCGGCCCGCCAACAAATGCAACCGGTGCTTTTTCTTGGCTCGCGCAGACACCGTAAGGTTTATGAAGTAGCCAGTGAGCAGAGTCAATCACTGGCCCTTCAAAGTACCCTCATCCTTCTCCTAAAGATACTTTGCGTATCCAGGACTGGCGCATAATCTGAGAAGCGATAAAACCGCGAACTGATTATGCTACGGCGTCCCCAGGAAGCAACCAACCTTGCGCTCTCTCGTTGACCGGAGCGACCCACATACAAGCTGGAAACCTCCGCCTTAACTCTAAAACTAGGTCACCTGTACAAAGGTTGTCGGAATGAGAACCCATTTAGACACAGGTAGGTGGTACGTTGACAATATATCATCATGCATGTTCTCAACGACCACGAAATTAACGGCCTGTCTGTTCCAGGTACACTCATCCAACTCCGACACTCGACACATGTGGACGAATACTTCTGGATACATCTTAGTGGGTTATTGGGTAATTAGGAGTTAAAGGGGTTGCGCCTCCAAGGAAAAATCAAGGGCAAAACAACCATATCCCATGGAGCAACTATTTTCAAGAAACGCCACAGCGCGAATCAGGGCTATACCACTCAACAATAATCATAATTCCAGTGTGCGCCCCTACAAACGGAATCAGACAATAAAGATGATTTCCGCAATATTCTTCAAAATTCAATCAATCGAGTCCCTGGGACGCCCGCAAAGGATCACCAGAGCATACAAAACACATGAGGAAAACCTGACTTCATTGATAGGTGTAAAAAACGGTGTCATCACCATCGTACAGCATTTACCAGTAGGGAAAGCCCCACTGACCACTGCCTTTCTCACCATCTTGCACGTTGAATTAGAAAGTGTGAATATACAAGATGGACAGAGAGCAGACCTACACGGGTGGGAAAAGGAAACCACGCACTAATACCCAAAACACAGAATACACAGTCTAAGTGTACAAACGTACACCGATCAGTCATTCTGATTCGACAAAAAAGTGACAACACGATCGCCACTGTTCACGGTTCGCAGTCATATCCTTCAGTGTCTCCAACCAACTGGTAGATGGATCTTCTGGACCCCAACCACGAAGACGTGAAGCACCCACTTTTCTTAAGCCTGTTTTGCATTTTCGCATTCCTCGTTGCCACGTCATCTGTTGACCTCCACTTGGCTTCTTCCACTCCCTAGGAGGAACGGAAAATAGGGCACGGTATGGTAGGCGTGTGTCTGCCATACGTAACACGTGCCCTAACCAACGAAGTCTACTAAGTTGGGTACGCTGTGACAAAACGTTCTCCGAATTAGTACCCAATACTCGATTTCTGACCTCAGCATTGCTTAATCGGCTATTCCACTCAATCTCAGCGATACTACGTAATCATCGATGGTCAAAAACCTCAAGACAACGAATATCTTCAGCACGCAGACTCCAAGTTTCGCAACCATACAACAAAACTGAACGCACTGCGGCACAGTATACACGACCTTTCAACTTCAGTAAAATATCAGATCGACGCCACAAGTGCTTCAGTCCAGCGTATGCTGCTCGAGCCCTCGATATACGCGTACTCACCTCCACTACTGTGCTCCCATCCGTCGTCACCCTGCTGCCGAGGTAGGTGAAGTGGTCGACAACTGACAGCACCTCCCCATCGAGCATCAAGCTCGGAATCCTTGACGTCCAGTCTTGTAACATCACCTTACACTTTGAAGGTGCAAAGCGCATGCCGAATATAGCTACAGCTCTCCCAAGTCTACCTAGTGCACGTTGAGCATGTTCCGTGCATTCGAACAAGCAGACAACCTCGTCTGCGTAATCTAGGTCACACAGCTTTCCACTATTTCCTAGTTCGACGCCTACATCCTGAAGATTTTGCAGCGCACTCTCCATTATTTCGTCCATGACGAAGTTGAACAGGAATTGAAACATAGGACATCCCTGTCGAACATCACTGGTCGTTTCGAACCGACCGGATAGTTCACCGTAAACTCTAACGCGGCCAGAAGTATGAGAATACAATGATCTCAGTAGGTTCACGAACTTCTGGGGCATACCTTGTCGATGAAGAGTACTGAAAAGCGCTGCTCGATCAACTGAAACGAAAGCGCCTTTCAAGTCTAAGAAAATCATTATTGTCGGTCGGCGGTGTGTGTGACGCATTTCAAGTAGTCGGCGAAGAGTAAAAATCTGGTCGATGCATCCTCGACCTGGGCGGAATCCAGCCTGCTGTTCGCGGGCATTCCTCTCGCGAGCCGGTGTAAGACGGTGCAGTAGAATTGAGATTAATACTTTGGTAACTATCGGAATTAAGCTAATCCCACGATGATTACTACAGTCATTGAGTATTCCCTTCTTGAAGATGGGAACAATCAACGACTCACTCCATATTAACGGAATACGCTCCGCGTTCCAAATATCACGGAACAAAGTGGTAAGTTATTTTATTAAAACATTTCCACCCAGTTTGGAAAGAACTGAGGGAAGTTCCTCGGGACCTGCCGCTTCCCCTCGCTTTAGTGATCTAATGCATGACTTTACTTCTACTTCCGCCCTTAGAATAATTGATCCAAAGACGGTGGTATGCATAAGCGGCTAGGTCAACAATGGAAATAGAGGAAAATTGCGAAGATGGATCGAGAACTGCAGCCTGATACTCAACCGCACTCCCCAAAACAGCTGTACTGTGTCACCAGGCAATCTCGAGCAATACGAAGTTGACGAAGATCCAGCCAGCTAACGGAGATAGTTTCTGTTACGGGGATAATGAAAAACAAGAAATCTCCCAGTGAGGATGGTATCCTATGTGAGATATTCAAGGCCTGTCAGACAACTCTGTTATACCCCTTCTTATTACATGCTTGTGCATGAGTGCAATGGAAGGGGTATACTCCACAGCCAAAAAGATCTACTGCACTATTAGAAGTGGTCGGCAATCAGGCCCTGAAACTTAAAGTAGAGAACTACATCAGGAACAAAGCAAATCAGATGTGGTAACGATCCGGGCGACAGTGGATTACTGTATACAGCCAACGTAACCTGGGATGGTGGGGATTCGAACGTCTGACCTCCGACCTCTGCCGAATTTAGGAGATAGAAGTGTTCCGTCCTACTTCCTATGCAAATAAGAGGTGACAGAACCACCCGAGCGAACTACAGGGGAAGCAGCCTCGTTGGGATAGCCACTGAGTCTCAAGAAGTAATCCCCTAAACCACTTTCTTATAGCACGAGGTGAGAAAGCGTCCTAACCAACGTGGTTTGCGCCCGGGGAGTGGTTATGTTGATGGAATCTTCAAGCTGCGACAAACCCTTGAACACCGTTACGAATTCCAACAACCAATCACAGCTTTTCTGACTGACTTGAAAGCAGCCTTTAAATCCGTAGTTATTCGGTCACCCGAGCGTGTCAGTGCCTACAACGGAAGTCTCCACTAGACTCCAACATCCATCAAGCCAGCTCTCTGCCATCAGTCTTGTTCAACTGCACCATAGAGCAAGCCTGGAGCCAGGCATGATGCCAACACCCAAACTACTGAAAACGGTAACAGAAAGAGGAGGGCGAATAAAAACATACTGTTTGCTTTGGTTGTTTCCTCGCCCGCATTTTTGTGGCTTTTTGAAGTTTCCTTCCGTATTTATTAGGCATGACAGTTTCTTAGGTATGCCACACAGCATTTGCACCACTAGATTCGGCTCTGAACCATATCCCTAAACGTCTCTAATTTCTGCCGTCCCAAACCGCTTGCTCTTCCGACTCACCGACGACCGTGGTCCTCCAGTTTAGTGCATGTGTCGTCACTCACGCTTGGTTCTGCTGCTCGCTTTTTGTCCGCCCGCCCGTGATGTTGTTGCTCACGTAGGGCTGTCTGACCTTCAGCATGAATGGTGCGTTTT